GGGGGAGGGGTGGAAAAAGGAAATAACCCACAAACACCCCCCACCCCGAAAAAAGAAAAAAAAGTCAAACTTTCCAAACACACACACAAATTGAATAAATGAAACATTTAAAAACTTTAAAAATGAAAAAGGGTCCATAGATTCTAAGGCCAGAATTTCTTGGTCAAGGTCTAGTCGATGTCCAGACTCCAGCAAAAAGAATTAAAAAACCCCCAATAATGATAATAAATAAGTAAATAAAAAGATGTCAGCATTCATTCAAAAGCATCTGGTGGTGCGGCTCTGGCCTGTGCTCCGTTTATTGACTCCCCCGATTTAATCTGACCATATAACACAAGCCAGTGAACTCCGCGGAGTTCATGCCTCTTTGAACTACAGCCGGGCTTTCAGAAAAAGATCCAGGCTTGAGGCAAGAATTTGGAAGCTTTCGTCCACTTTTTCACAACCAGCCGTAAGCCCTTATCACGCAAACTGATCCTAGTCCCGTTGCATTGTGGGTCATTCTTGCTCAGGATTGTGGGAGAAGTCCAACAGTTCCCCAAGTTGGATGGAAGTGTAGCCATCACCGGGGAGCGTGACTGTCACATTGTTACTTACGCAGACAAAACGGGGGCTGCTGGAACTCGCCCCGGCAGCATCAGGACTTGCAAACTGAGCTGCAGCCCGTCACACCTCCGCTAGCAGCCTCGGTGTCTGGGGGCCTTGCAGGAAACCGTCTTCAGGCAAGAATGTCTCTGCTAGGCGAGCAGCTTTCAGCAGCCCTTCGCACCCACACGTTATCAGCTTTGGCTCATCGGTCCACTCCCCCTGCTGCATCCCACTTCCTCAGCTGCTGGGGTGGGGCTGCAGACCAGTTTCCTGAAGACGTGTCATTTCGGGCCACACGGGACCACTAGGCCATCTAGCCTGACATCCTGACATATCCAGAGACCTGCCGATAGTGGGGGGAGCAGAGAGAGGGCGGCGGCTTCAGCAGACATTACTGAGCATGCCCAGTCATCAGAACATAAGAACGGCCGTACTGGGTCAGACCAAACGTCCATCTAGCCCAGTATCCTGTCTCCGACAGTGGCCAGTGCCAGGTGCTTCAGAGGGAATGAACAGAACTGGTAATTATCCAGCGATCCATTCCCAGTCCGTATGAGCATGCTCAGTACAAACCAAGCAGCAAATCTGGGGATGGGGGCACGTGACCCCGCATCCTCCCCCCCCACGCATCACCTCTGGTCATATCTTTTATTGGATCTGTTGGAGAGAGAGAGACAAGCCTTCGAGGTCCACAGAGCTCTGCTGCCTGTCTGGGAAAGGTCCTCAGCGTGTCCCAGCTCAAAACAAGGTGGAAGAGATGGTGAAGCATAAGGAGTTAACAAGAAACCACTCCAGATAACACAGGCCAGAGACTCTCACGATGTTACCCCTGTACCGAGCCCAGTGACTTGCGTCTCACTAAAAGCCTCTTCCCAAAAGGCATCAAGAGATGGAGCATCCACCACTTCCCTTGGGGGTTTGTTCCAATGATTAATCACCCTCATTTGTGCCTTGTTTCTAACTGGGAGTTGGCTCATGTTCTGCCTTCCTTGGCTACATTAAAGCACCTTTCAATACCCCAAAAGAATGAGGAGTATTTGTAGCACCTTAGAGACTAACACATTTATTTGAGCATAAGTTTTTGTGGGCTAAAACCCACTTCATTGGATGCATGCAGTGGAAAATACAGTAGGAAGATATATATACACAGAGAACATGAAAAAATGGGTGTTGCCATACCAACTCTAATGCGAGTAATCAATTAAAGTGAGCTATTAGCAGCAGGAGAAATAAAAACAAAAAACAAACAAAATAACTTTTGTAGTGATAATCAGGACGGTCCATTTCCAACAGTTGACAAGAAGGTGTGAGTAACAGTAGGGGGGAAAATAAGCATGAGGAAATAGTTTTTAACTTTGTGCAATCCACTCCCAGTCTTTATTCAAGCCTAATTTAATGATGTCCAGTTTGCAAATTAATTCCAATTCTGCAGTTTCTCGTTGGAGTCTGTTTTTCAAGTTTTTTTTGTTGGAGTATTGCGACTTTGAGGTCTGTAATCGAGTGACCAGGGAGGTTGAAGTGTTCTCCGACTGGTTTTTGAATGTATAATTCTTGACGTCTGATTTGTGTCCATTAATTCTTTTGCGGAGAGACTGTCCGGTCTGGCCAATGTACTTGGCAGAGGGGCATTGCTGGCACATGATGGCATAGATCACATTGGTAGATGTGCAGGTGAACGAGCCCCTGATGGCGTGGCTGATGTGATTAGGTCCTATGATGGTGTCACTTGAATAGATATGCAGACAGAGTTGGCATCGAGGTTTGCTGGAGGGATTGGTTCCTGGGTTAGTGTTTTTGTTGTGTGGTGTGTAGTTGCTGGTGAGTATTTGCTTCAGGTTGGGGGGCTGTCTGTAAGCAAGGACTGGCCTGTTTCCCAAGATCTGTGAGAGTGAGGGAACATCCTTCAGGATAGGTTGTAGATCTCTGATGATGCGCTGGAGAGGTTTTAGTTGGGGGCTGAAGGTGACGGCTAGTGGCATTCTGTTACTTTCTTTGTTGGGCCTGTCCTGTAGTAGGTGACTTCTAGGTACCCTTCTGGCTCTGTCAATCTGTTTCTTCATTTCAGCAGGTGGGTATTGTAGTTGTAAGAATACTTGATAGGGATCTTGTAGGTGTTTGTCTCTGTCTGAGGGATTGGAGCAAATGCGGTTGTATATTAGAGCTTGGCTGTAGACAATGGATCGTGTGGTGTGGTCCGGATGAAAGATGGAGGCATGTAGGTAAGAAATTACCCTGAAATGCAAGGATATGACTGTCCAATGGTGGTGTTCTTAAATCTGTTAAATCGCGCTCTCCATGAACAAAAGAGGAGTCGAACTGGGGATAGTGACCTGATGCTGGCTTCATGTGTTCCAGTCATTGCACAGAATAAAAGGGTTAAATAAATCATAACTGCTTCTGTTTACACGAGTATGGTTGTGTATTTTATTACAACGCTGACCACGCTCCCTCCATTGGTGCGCGTCCCGGATGAGTGGCTCCAGCCCGGCCCCGGCCTGGCTCGGGCCCTGCGGCGCCGGTCCCGGTCCCAGCCGAGCGGCCCTGACGTGGCTCCGGCCCCACATCGCTGGTCCCGGCCCAGCGGACCCGGCTCTGGCCCCGGCCAAGCGGCTCCAGGCAGCGCGGTAACAGAGCAGGGAGGGGGTGTTGGAAGAGAGCTGGGGAATTTGGGGGGTTGTGGGGGGAGGGTGGATAGGGGTCGGGGCAGTCAGAGGGCAGGGAACAGGGGGATTGAATGGGGACAGGAAGGAGCAGGGGTTGGATGGGGTGGTGGGGGGCAGTCAGGGGCAGGAGTTCCAGGGGTAGTCAGGGGACAGAGAGAAGGGGTGGTTGGATGGGGCAGGGGTCTCGGGGGACCATCAGGAATGAGAGGAGGGGTTGGATGGAGCGACAGGGGGCAGTCAAGGGACAGGGAAGAGGGGTGGATGGGGCAGGAGTCCTGGTGTGTGTGTGTGTGTGTGTGTGTGTGTGTGTGTACGAAGG